TTGTACCCATTAAGAAATCTGGGCCAATCTATTCACAAACAAAACACCTTCAGCTCCAGTTGATGGGATTAAGAAGGACAGGGCCTTTAGGACATAATAGGATTAACCAACCACCAATCAAATAATGAAAGCACACACAGAGCAAACCTCAATATTACAAAATACTGTAAACTGTATAAAAATCCTCACACTCATCAAGCTAATTTGTCAGCTGTCCCAGAACTGCATGCTGTGGTTGGTTCTGCTCATCAATAAACCGGGTGCTTCTTTCAAATTAGCCTCCATTTTATTTCCAGTGCCTTTCTCCTGGTTTGGAACCAGACTTGATTTTCTTCCTACACAAACAAGTAAAATAAATCAATTTTGTAAAATATACTGCATTTCAACACATCCAAGGGAGGTTCTTCCTGGTGCATTTGGCAAACTCTGTACTTCTTTGACATGCATTGCACTGCCTTGAAAATTAATGTGTGAAACAAGTCCTGCACACAGCCCTCTGTTTTTGTAAATGCTTAGTTTTTTTTAATGTTTGAAAACAACAAAAACATATATAAATACAATGGAAATGAACACTATGCACTTTTCTGATTGCAAAATAATTGTAGTAATAAATTTGGAAGCATGCCCCTTTTACTAAAGAAGAAATGACAGATTGCCTTTGCATCATTAAAAGCAATTGGTATTATAAAGATCTAGTTTCAGGAATAGAGAAAAATGAAAAAATGGCCTTTTTGAGGCATTTTAGCCTAATCATCAACAAAAGTACAGTGTTGTCAGAATACAGTTGCAGTAGGATTCTACATTCAGACAGAAAATGGATTAAATAGAAGAGACAGAAGGGTTATAAATATAAAAACATTAGGAATAAGGATACAACTCTATTGAATCTCTCTTCTGGCATTTAGGATACATCAGAACCACATCTGACTTGAATCTTGGCATCTTGGCACCAGGGGGGCATTCGCCCAGGTTCGCCTGGTGCGCCAGTTGCGACCCTACCTGAATCGGGAGGCTCTCACAACAGTCACTCGGGCCCTTGTGA